TATGCACCAAGAGCTTGTAACACTCCAAAGAGAAAGGAAAAATTTTAATCGCATCATATGACCCCTTTAACATGTCATTAGAGACTCACTGTCATATCTTTGGAATTGTTGTGGATTTTATCTTGGTAGACTATCTTTGCATGTTTTGTTATTTGTGATTTGTACACTTTATCATAATTCACTTTGGTAAGAAAGTGTCACTAAGTACATAAATGCAAATCTAAAACCATAGTACTGAGGTGTAACAAAGGACACAAACTGACACTAGAGAATTAAAGACACTGGCAAACCGCGCCGTGCCGTACCGTACTGAGCCGTGTCGAGCCGAGTCGTACCACGCAGTGGAAAAGCGCCATAAGTAATGCTAGTCACACCAAAAACATGTATTTAAAAAAATATATATTATTCAGTGCTACAAATAAACAAGATACAGTGTGGCAGATTTGGACACATTTCAGAATTCAGATTAATCTTATCACATGCTCACATTTCTATAAGGGGAGGGAGATACATTTAGATGCTAAGCAGCAGCTAAAAGTCAGTACCTCCAGTGCAGAAGTCAGAGCGTGTCTTGTGGGAGATCAAGCACTGTAGCTCTGTGTGCGGTCAAAAGAGATTTCTGTATGTAAAAACTCTAGACTTATTAAGCAGCATAAGTGTCTGAATCTATAATGGCTTAAAGGAATAATTCACCCAAAAGTCATTTACTGCACCAAATGATGACAAAAAAACCTGCATTTTTGGGTGAACTATCTTTAAAAAATGTACATGACTGCAGATTATAGAGCATTGATTTCAGGGTCTACGGGGAGAAATCAACTGCACATTGTTATTAGTATAATCACATCCAGAAGAAATAATATTTTTTTAAAGGATAAATCATAAATGAAACTTTTATCAAGGTAAATAAAAAGTGCTGATCTTCAGCTATTGGATTTTGTCCCTCTAAACACACACTGCAATATATCTGTTATATATAGAAATACTAGACATACCTCCATTGACATCTTGGCCCTGCAGGCCTTCGGCACTTAACACATGCACCTGGGTGACCAGCTGAGGGTAACCGCACATCCCAGTCCAGCATGTCTGTGGAGGCTCGTCCAGAGTTAATTCTCTAAGGAAACACACGCAGGAACAATATCAGCAAGGTACCAGTGCTGTTGATGTTAACAAAATTTAAATCTAAAACGACTAAAAATCAATTTGGTTGATTTTGAACCAAAATAAAGCTAAAATATACAAATAAAATAGTAACATTACATGAAAAACTTAAAAACGTAAACTTATGTTGACTTGACAACAAACACACTGCAAATAATGTTCTTAATCAGAAATCTTTTTTATCTAGTATAAAAAATTTTTTTATTTGAGAAGCAAAATTGTATGGCATATTAAGACTATTATTCTTAAAAAGACTATAAGAAGGCATTATTGTTTAAAAGTTTGGGGTTGTTAAGATTTTCCTATGTTTTTGAAAGAATTCTCCTATGCTCACCAAGGATGTATTTATTTGATAAAAAAATACAATAAAAATAGTAATCTTGTGAAATATTGCGATTTAAAATAACATGTTTCTATTTGATTATATTTAAAAATGTAATTTATTCCTGTGATGGCAAATATGAATTTTCAGCCATTACATTACAGTAAAATATTAAATAAAATATAAATGTTAGAAGAAAAATGTAAACGCTTAAACTTAAAAAAAATAAAACTTGATCTGAAATGAATATGAAGCTACATAGAAAAAAAATTAAAAATAAATAAAAATGTCCAAATAACTAAATTACTTGAACTAAAATCAAAATTGAACAAACATAAAAGCTAATTCAAATTATTAATAAATACTATAATAGTATACAAGGTAACACTTTAGATTATATTCACTATTAACAAGGACGTTTTTCCATCCATAAACTCCTAATTTGCTGCTTTTTGATAGTACATAAGGTAGTTGTTGTAGTAGTGCCCTTTCTTTCGTTCACTCCGACCTTGTGTCGAGTGTACGACACTAGGGGTCGCTCTTGGGAGTCCAAACACCTCTGACATCTTTGAGAAAAGGCCAATGAAATTGGGTTTGCAGAATTTGCATAGCTGGCCATGCCCCGGACATCCGGGTATAAATAGGCCAGTGTGGCATCTGCTCACTCGTTCTGTTTTTCAGAGCCGAATGCAGCGTCTCTCATGGAGAAGTTGCGATCATTCACCTCTCGATTCCTTGTCGTTGGATCTAAGGCACAGTCAGAGGTCTCTCCCTACTTATACACAGATAAGTGTTGTGAGAGTACCCCTGGGTGCTTTAACGGCGATCTCTAGAAGAGCAAATTTCCTCTAAAAGAGTACAATTTACTCTAAAAGAGTACATTTTTGGCCCTCCCATTTGCAACGGCCGGACGCTGAAACCATGCATCAGAACCTGTTTGGAAACAGACCTCCTCACGTTCAGATGCAAAGGGTCTATCACTCAGCCAACACAACGCATGTTGGCGAACTCATGTTCCCTCATCTGTCGGTGGCACGTGACAGACCCTGCGGACAAGGCACGGTGTGTTTTACAGGATGTTTAACCTCCTACCACAGTGCCTTCCACTCTGCTCAGCCACAGGAACCCTGCCCGAGGTATGTCAAACATGGTTCCTTTGAGACTGTTGGCAGGGTATCTGGATGCTTGGTTAAGCCTCTCCAATCCCTTCCGATGGCTCCTCAGAACCATTTGGCTCGGCTATGCGATTCAGTTCGCCAGGCGCCCGCCCAAGTTCAGGGGCATTCTGTTTACCTCAGTACGAGGTGAGAATGTGGCTGTTCTTCAGGCGGAGGTTGCAACCCTTCTCGAGAAGGGTGCAATCGAGCCTGTCCCCTTGGCCGAAATGAAGAAGGGGTTTTACAGCCCGTACTTCATTGTACCCAAGAAGGGCGGGGGGCTCAGACCAATCCTGGATTTGAGGATGCTTGTGGGCCCTTCACAAGCTTCCGTTCAGAATGTTAACACTCAAGCACATATTAACATGTGTCAGAGATCAGGATTGGTTTGTGGCAATAGACCTGAAGGATGCATACTTTCATGTCTCAATCAAGGCACAGGCCGTTTCTTCGGTTTTCCTTCGAGGGACCATCTGGCCAATATGGATCCACTTCCGACGGGGTGACGGGAGGTGGATTCGGCTCCACCACGGCTGTCCCCCTGGCTGAAATGAAGAAGGGGTTTTACAGCCCGTACTTCATTGTACCCAAGAAGGGCGGGGGGCTCAGACCAATCCTGGATTTGAGGATGCTTGTGGGCCCTTCACAAGCTTCCGTTCAGAATGTTAACACTCAAGCACATATTAACATGTGTCAGAGATCAGGATTGGTTTGTGGCAATAGACCTTGTTGCGTACTTTCATGTCTCAATCCTACCAAGGCACAGGCCGTTTCTTCAGTTTGCCTTCGAAGGACGGGCATATCAGTACAAAGTTCTTCCCTTCGGGCTGTCCCTGTCTCCTCGGGTCTTTACGAAGATCGCAGAGGCTGCCCTTGCTCCTCTCAGGGAAGTGGGCATTCGCATTCTAAATTACCTCGATGACTGGCTGATCCTAGCTCATTCGCGAGAATTGGTTTGCGCACACAGGGACATGGTCCTCGACCACCTAGCCCGATTGGGACTTGGGGTCAACTGGGAAAAAAGCAAACTCTCCCCTGTGCAGAGTATCTCTTTTCTCGGTATAGAATTGGACTCGGTTATGATGACTGCACACCTCTCTCAGGATCGTGCTCAGTCGGTGCTGAAATGCTTGAAGGCTCTCAAGCAGAGAACAGCGGTCCCTCTCAAAAACTTTCAGAGGCTCCTGGGGCATATGGAGTCCTCAGCCGCGGTCACGCTGCTGGGACTGATGCATATGAGACCGCTTCAGCACTGGCTTCGTACCCGAGTCCCGAGATGGGCATGGCGTCACGGCTCACACCGTGTGAACATCACACAGTTGTGTCGCCGTACCTTCAGTCCTTGGGAAGACATCTCTTTTCTATGGGCAGGAGTGCCCTTAGAACAGGTGTCCAGACGCATTGTTGTTACAACAGATGTTTCCAAGACAGGCTGGGGCACCGTGTGCAACGGGCATGCAGCATCAGGGGTCTGGACAGGCCCTCGACTGCATTGGCATATCAATTGATTGGATTGGCCTTGAGGAGGTTTCGACCCTTGATCCAAGGCAAGCACGTGTTAGTCTGGATGGACAACACAGCGACGGTTTCATACATCAACCACCAGGGTGGTGTTCGCTCCCATCGCATGTCACAACTCATCCCATCTCTTACTTTGGAGCCAGCACAGACTCAGGTCTCTGCATGTCACTCATATCCCGGGCGACCTCAATTGTGTAGCGGATCTCCTCTCGCGACAGGTCTCGCTCAGGGGCGAGTGGAGGCTTCACCCCCAAATGGTTCAGCTGATTTGGAGTCAGTTCAGCCAGGCACAGGTGGACCTGTTTGCTTCGTAGGAATCGATCCATTGCCAGTTGTGGTACTCCCTGACCGAGGCTCCCCTCGGCACAGATGCACTGGCTCACAGCTGGCCCAGGGGCCTATTCAAGTATGCATTTCCCCCAGTGAACCTCATTGCACAGACACTGTGCAAAGTCAGGCCCCTTATTGGCCCAACAGGACCTGGTTCTTGGAGCTCGTGCTCATGGCATCAGTTCCTCCCTGCCAAATTCCCCTGAGGAAGGACCTCCTTTCTCAGGGGAAGGGCACAATTTGGCATCCGCGCCCGGATCTCTGGAACCTTCATGTTTGGTCCCTGGACACGACCAGAAGGAACTCAGAGACCTTTCATCAGCAGTGGTGAATACCATTACTCAGGCCAGAGCCCCCTCGACGAGGCAGCTGTACGACCCGTAGTGGCACGTTTTTGTGAATTGGTGTTCTTCCCAGGGGAATGACCCTCAGAGATGTGGGATCGGATCTGTGCTCTCCTTCCCTGAGGAAGGACCTTCATGTTTGGTCCCTGGATGCGACCAGGAGGAACTCAGAGACCTTTCACCAGCAGTGGTGAATACCATTACTCAGGCCTCAATGAGGCGGCTGTACGACCTGAAGTGGTTTGTTTTAGTGAATTGGTGTTCTTCCAGGGGATGGACCCTCGGAGATGTGGCATCGGATCTGTGCTCTCCTTCCTCCAAGGAGGCCTGGACAGGCACCTGTCTGCTTCTACACTTAAGGTGTACGTGGTCGCGACTGCGGCTAACCACGACACCGTGGGAGGCAGATCAGTGGGGAAGCACGATCTGGTTATTAGGTTCCTCAGAGGCGCCCGGAGGCCACGTCTGATTCACTCTTGGGATCTCACTGTGGTCTTGCAGGCTTTACAGAGAGATCCGTTTGAGCTTCTTCAGTCAGTTGAGTTCAGTGCCCTCTCTATGAAGACAGCCCTCCTGACTGCACTCACTTCTGTCAAGAGGGTGGGGGATCTTCAAGCCCTCTCCGTTAACGAATCATGCCTGGAGTTCGGGCCGGCAGACTCTCACGTTGTCCTGAGACCTCGGCCTGGATATGTGCCTAAGGTTCTCACCACTCCTTTCAGGGACCAGGTGGTAACATTGCAAGCTATCCCCTTCCAAGAAGGGGACCTTGACCTGTCTCTGTTGTGCCCAATGCGAGCCCTACACACATACCTAGATCGCACTCAGAGTTTCAGACGTTCTGAACAGCTCTTTATCTGCTTTGGAGGACAGCAGAAGAGGAATGCTGTCTCCAGACAAAGGATCTCCTACTGGATTGTGGATGTAATCCTAACGGCCTATCAGGCCAGAGGCCTACCTTGCCCACTGGGAGGGAGGATGATGGAGGGAACAGAGACGTTGTGTCCTTCATGCCACAACTCCGAATTGCCTCTGAGTGGGTTGAGACGCAATTTCCTTGACCTTTTCTCAAAGGTGTCAGATTGGCCTTTTCTCAAAGATGTCAGAGGTGTTTGGGCTCCCAAGAGCGACCCCTAGTGTCGTACACTCGATACAAAGTCTCCATTCCATCCATCAGGGAACGTGGGTTACCATACGTAACCAAGACGTTATGTTTAGGTATGGGGTAGGGTTACGGGATCTAGAATATAGTCATGCAGAATAAAGCATTAATATGTGCATGAATAATCAGCCAATATGCTAGTAATATGCATGCTAATAAGCAACAAGTGTGGTCTATACTTTTTTGGAAGCTACTTTACTTGCAGTCTGAAGGCACATCAGTGAAGACTCTGAGCAGGAACTCTCCATGTTGACCTGGGTCAAAGGTTGTGGGGATGATGACGTAACGTCCCTCCTTTAGCTCTTTCCTCAGAAAGACGCAGCGAGAGTTGATGTAGATTGACCCTGCGACCTTCTGCTGAGCCGAGTGCATTCTGTATTTCCTATTCAACTCCACCTGGTGGTAGAAAAGTTGCTTGATTAAGACAGGAACATCGACTGACAGGATACCATGCAGTACTTATATTTTTAGTTCTTATATCATTGGCTTTATCTGCAAGCAGATGTGAAGGTTTGTATTGTGTTGGAATGTAATTTTGTACCCTATGGATGTCAAATCCAATGGCCAGGTTCTCGCCTTTGCCCTCCTTTGGAGTAGCTCTGCGTTCCTTTTGCTGCAGGCAGATCAGCACCTCATCTTCCACTTTTCTCACATCAAAAACATACTGTGGGCGGAAACATACATTAAACTCAGTCCAATGAAGACCCAAAGCATCAAATGCCTCCAGGACAAGAACAACATTTTAAAAAGGCAGATGCACACAGGTACACTGACCTGTGGGTTTTGCAGAAACGTGGCTTTATGGTTAATGCAGCCTCCGGCGCGGTTGCGGAGCGGGTCGTCTCGGTGGATCCAGGAGCCCCTCATCACCTCCTCCTCCCAGGTCTTATGAATGCTCAAGTAAGACGTGTTTATCAGTCGACACAGGATCAGGTCGGTGAAGTAGTGACAGAAATCCTCAAAGTTCATCCTGGTGAAGCAGTTTACAGCCAGTTGGGGAACAGAAGTTTATGATAAATGGAGAATTTAGGCGTTTATCAGATGCATTGGGGTACAATAGTATAAAACCTGGGATTTCAGGATAAAATCGGATTTAAATCTGGGATAAAATCTGATTTAAACACAGAAATAAAGGTTTTGAAGCAAAACAGGGTAACAACAAACTCTAAGATATTCTCAAATTTTTTTGTTCAGTTGATCTGCTTTTTACAAAATTTTTAACAATTTAACCCTTGAAGGTAATACTTTACAAAACTGTTCAATATGTTAACATTAGTCATTGCATTATATATCATGAACTAACAATGAGAAGTATTCTTTACAATATTTACTGTATTCATATAGCTTAATTTCCATATATACTAATACATTACTATCATTACAAGGTGTTTTAATTAACATTATTGTATTATATGCAAACATTAATTTACAATAGTACGTTTCTTAATTGACATTAACGTAGATTTACAAATGCTGTGTAAAAAAAAAAAAAGAGTAAAAATGAACATATATTTACAAATAAATTAACATTAACCTAGATTAATAAATGCAAAAAAAATTTTAATTGTTAGTCCATCATATGTAATGGAGTAATTAATGTTAATGATTTTGGATTAATGTTTTAGATTAATGCAAATTGCAAATTAACTGCAAAGTGTTTAATATATAATATAATATAATATAATATAATATAATGAATAAACAATATATTGATAAATTACCTAGATTAATAAATTGTGTGGAAATTGTTTATGCTTTAACCAATACTTCAAGCAATTAAGATTAGTTATTGCATATATTAGTTATTTTCATTATAATGAAAAAAAAAACAAATACATACATATACATATACATATTTCCGTACCCACTGTATATATATATATATATATATATATATGTAGACACACACACACACACACACAGTATATGCAAAACAGAAGCATTTTGACTAGTAGTCTCAGACTTCTGGAACCCATCTGTGTTAAGACACTACTGATCTAGAAGGTAAGAGTATAGCGAGCCTCACCAAAACTCTCCATCATCCTGAACAGTGACGCCCAGTTTCTCTCTCTCACTCTTGCTCACTTTCTTCCACTCTTCTGAGCTACAAAACAGAGCAGTGATTACTCATCGTACACCAGACTGAGAGAAATAAACATTCACACACGACACACACGACTATACTCACTGACAACAGCCTGCGTCCAATAACCATCAACTAAGATTTCCTAGAATTTTGTGAAAGAAATAGAGCACTTAACCAAGTATTTCTAATCAAGCCCAGAATAAATAATTCATCAAGCAGAAATACGAAGAAAGATTGCTTTCACCTCAATAAGAGTCTTCTGGCTGGCCAGTAAATAATTCAGAGGCAAATATAACCCTGTCTGTTGTAGCACTTGAACAAAGACTGATGAGAAGGATTTTCAAGATTTTCCTCTCTGCAATTACACAGCCCCATTTTAATAGTATGTTGCTACCTGCAGTGGTGGATATTTAGGGTAGGTGTCATCAAACAAGAGCACAGTTATTTAAATGAAAGGAGGTGGATGTCTTCTTAACACCCTCAGACCTCTGCATTTCAATCACAGCAGCTTCCTATTTTATACCAGCCTGCCTGGCTTGATATCTCAATTTCACACCAGTCAGCGATAAGAATAGACACTTCGGCTATGTGTTATTTATACTGAAATTATCTCAAGAGGAAGGAGAGAAATGGTTTTCTCTAGTCTCTGAGGATGTATAGTACTACACTGCAGGAAGCTAGAGAAGGCAAAAGGACAAATCATTTCTGTATGTGCTTTCACTCTGTTTTTGTAGAGATTATAAAGAATTGAGTGTTGGGAAGATGTGTGTCTGATGAAAAATGTCTGATCACAACGCCACGTCGTAATATAGCAAGTGCTTCAACACATTGAATTTTGGTGCTCATTTGGAAATTTGGGTTTGAGTCTGGCTTGCAACTAGAGCTTACTTTCACACTGTCAGTCCAAATCTGGTTATTGTGTATCGGATTCTAAATGACTGACTGTCCACACTGTGTATCGCAATGGTTCAGATCCCAGATGGGTTCAGATGGGTCCCTCTTTCATTTTCTGGAATATCTGCATTGGTTTCTATGTCAATGAAGTTGCATTTCTATGCCTACACCAAAATTGTGGCTTTATTCCATGCTGCCATCTCCACCAGTCTCAAAATTTAAAGAGGTATGTAAACTGTGCCGACTAGTAGTATATTGTTATTTTTATCTCGACCTGCACTTCACAACAACACAACCTTGTTTCTGCAAACACTGATTCAAATGACATTCAGTCTGACCGCTCTAACATTTTTACTTACACTTAAAATGTAAAAATGTCAGACATTGTTGTAGGAAACATGCTGACAGTTGGTGCAGAAACAATGTGTTTTTGGGAAGTGCAGGTCGAACAAAAACGTATTATAAAATCAGATAGTTCACCCAAAAATGAAAATTCTGTCATTAATTACTCACCCTCATGTCGTTCCAAACCTGTAAGACCTTCATTCATGTTTGGAACACAAATTACGATATTTTTGATGAAATCCGAGAGCTTTCTGACTCTGCTTTTTCAGCAACGCAACTACCACGTTCAAGGCCCAGAAAGGTAGTAAGGACATCGTTAAAATAGTCCATGTGACATCAGTGCTTTAACCGTAATGTTATGAAGCTACGAGAATGCTTTTTGTATGCAAAGAAACAAACAAAATGACTTTATTAAACAATTTTTTTCTCTTCCATGTCAGTCTTCGCCACTATTCATTGGTACTCTTGTGAATGGAGGCGGAAACTGTCCTGGAAGGGGAGAAATTGTTGTATAAAGTCATTTCAACGGAACTGAAACTTAAAGTGGTAGTTCTCTTGCTGTCTACGGAGGGTCAGAAAGCTCTCTGATTTCACCAAAAATATCTTAATTTGTGTTCCAAAGATGAACGAAGGTCTTACGGGTTTGGAATGACATGAGGGTGAGTAATTAATTACAGAATTTTCATTTTTGGGTGAACTATCCCTTTAATGCGATTTTTTTTTTTTGCGGTTTACACTTGCTAAATATAATCAGATTCCAAATGGATGTGCACAAAAATCAGATTTGGACTGACAGTCTAAACAAGGCATTAGCTCCCTTATCTCCCATCATGTCCTATCATAAAAAATGTAAAAAATAATTCAGTTTCTTTCTAATTATTCCCAAACCTTTTGACAGGCAAATTTTTTTTAAACTTACGTTTACCCGAAGTACCCCATGAGATTTTCAAATAATATTTCAATCCTTTAACAACACATCTACATATTCACAGTTCTCTAATTTAGATTATTGGTCACATGCAGGTAAACAAATGAAATGTTTCATGTTTTTAGTAAGAGTATTATTTTGATTGTTTTTATTTTAAAATGATTTATTTATTTTAATTTTACATGCTTATGACCTACTTATTAGCTTTCCATCAACTCATACCCCCTGCAGTTTCCTCACAAATCCCCAGGCGTTTGCAAACCCTGTCATACACCATGCTCTAGATCAGGGGTGTCCAAATCAGATCCTGGAGGGGCACTGTTCTGCAGAGTTTAGCTCCAACCCCAATTAAACACACCTGAACCAACTAATCAAGCTCTTTAGACTCATTTGAAACTTCTAGGCAAGTGTGTTGGAACTAAAATCCACAGGATTGGATACCCCTGCTATAGAGTCTGTATGTAATACCTACAATCCAAGAGGGGGCAGTCTCACCTATCGCTCCACGGTCCACTCCACTCCTTTTCACCCCAGGGATTCCTCATGCGAATCATGTGTAGCTTTTCTGACTTGAAATACGCCAGAAGGCCATGTCCCAGACGGACCTTGCGAACGTCGGTCACCGCATAGGCATGGCCTTTCACTAACCCACAGTCCAGTCTTGCCTCCATGTCTTCTACTGTGGTTGCCTGTACACCAAAGGTCAAATTTCAGTTAGTTTGCTGAACACCAATTTCAAGTCTATCCAAAAGCATAATAATCTTTATCCCTGATTAGAATGCAAGCACATGAACTGTCTGTGAATTATCGATTATGAAAATATCGGCCGTTATTTCATGGTACAGTGAAATATGGTGATGTTAATCAGTAGGAGACAAGCCACGCCCATTTATCACACTCCAGTGAGCAGAGGGCTTGCTGTGCAAATGAAGCTGGCAATATGCATAGACTTGTAGGCTCTGTGACATGAATAATTGTGTCGACATAATCAAGACTAAGTTGTAAGAATGGACAGAGTGACTGAACTTGGACATGAAAGGACTTTGTTGAGTATCTAACAGAACATTTATAAATCAATGCAAACCGTTTAATTTTCTCCTCAACATTTGAACAAAAGCCCTTAAGTTGTGGTGAAACTTGATAAAGTTGTTTCTGTTATGATCCCCAGATAACCTGCTTACATCACAGACCTGTCTGGCACATCAGATGATGCTGTTCAAATGAATTTCTAAATGTTTCTGAACACTCAATGGAGTTATCTTTTGCACTGAGAGGCATTTTATTTGATATCCTAGTGAAGAAAAACAACTTCCAGCTATGAAGATATTCAAAAACGTAGTTTTTTTTCCATGTACGAAAGGAATCACAGACCATTGATAAGCAAGTCACACACAATCAAAGATTGCTTTGAGTCTGGGAAGGTACAGTCTTATAAAAGAAAATAAATGAAGGCAGAAAAAATGATGGATGGCTGGATTAATAGATGGATGAGTGTCTGAATACAAATCTTGACAGACGTGAGACAAATGCTGATCAATAATATGTACTACATGTGTTTCCAAAGTGTATAAATATAGGAATAAATATAAAAATATAATATATATAAAGTATACTGTACTAAAATATACTAAAATAAAGTAAGAGTGTCCTTCTCACCCTGATAGAGCAGCTGATAAGGCCATCTCGATTATGGACCTTGAGCACTCTCTCAAAGAGTTGGTTTCTGGCGACTTCATCCTGAGCAAACTGGCCCTCCAGAAGGTCCATGGGTCTCATTCTCTGCCAGCAGGAGGCGCTGTTGGAGTGGTAGAGATCAAGGTTTCCCCGGTAACGGCTGTACACAAAACAGCGGTCCGCTCAAAAAAACACTGCTTTATCAGACATTACTTGCAAGATTAAATGAAAATGACATCCAATTTTCTGAAGATAGTCGGTTTCCTTCAGAAATACAGTGATATAAAAACACCCGCACTCAATGTATGGGAAACACTGTAGTCTCATAATTGAAGTGTAAATTCTGCAGATTACATCATTGTCCAGTATTTTACTGTCAGCAATTTATTATAAAAATGTTTTCATAATTGTAAGATACATATTTGCATACATAATTATTCAGGTGTATGTGTAATTACTTGCGAAAACTTGAGGCTACAGCAGCACTTCTTCTTCGTTGTCTTGTCTGATGCACTCAACCAAGCGTTCTAACCAAGCGGCAACCTTCCAGTCTCTCTCGTGAAACCAATACGGAAGTGACTAAAACTGCAATTCATCGACTGGCCGCTAGAGGCTCGCTCCAAAAGGGAGTCAGTCCCATAGACTCCCCATGTTAAAATGCCCAACTTTACAGCAGAAAAAAATATGTTTACAGCCTGATACAAAAGTGGTTTTGGTCTATATAGCTAATTTTGCCCTTCATGACAACTGTGAGGGGGGTGAATTTTTTTATAACTCATCCGTTTAAATTATTTTAAGCCTTAAAGTTCTGCATAATTAAGGGTGTGGCCACTTGAGTGACAGGTAGATTGCCGCTGCTGTCACCACCGTCGAGCTAGGTGGGCGTGGTTTCAGCAACCAGCTCCCGCCTCTTTGCCCATTTTCAATTATCCGGGAGTGATGCGCGGTGACGCGCTGCCAAGATGATGACGGCCGGCTCCGCCTACTTTAGGCTTGAAAAACGCTCTTCGGAAACCTACGGGCGACGTCACGGACACTCCATATTTTTATACAGTCTATGGTTCTAACCACGACCTCGCCCCTCCCCAGCCCCCAACCATTCGAATTGCTGTAGGCGGGAATTATTTTAATAATATTCTAATGGGCCACTTTGTGATTTCACAAAACCCGGAAAACAAACGCTGTAGTCCAAACGAGCTATTCATTGTAGTTCTTGAAAAGGGATTTTTTTTAAAAAGGACTTTGAGATTTGTAAGTTTTAAGATCTTTTATATGCCCAAACATACACACTACACACTGACTAAAATTCAAAAAGTGAAAAAGCATAATAGGACCCCTTTAAGTAAAGTGTTACCAAATGTTTTTAATCCACTATTTTATTTAAAAGTTTTCTTTTAAATAAAATTATATTTATCTAATAATTTTATTAACATGATTAATGATTTTTAATAGTTTTAGTTAAAGCTGCAGTCCGTAACTTTTTTTGGTTAAAAATGATCCGAAATCAATATTTGAGCAAGTACATAACCAGCCAGTGTTCAAAACTATCGCCTTACTTTAGCCCGATTCACAACGGGTATCTTATAATAATGTTTTCTAATTTGAGTGGTACGGGTAGTTTTTTGCGGGAAATTCGAGCATGCTGCTGCGTCATTACGTCACATCTGTAAACATAAAGAAGTTGTCCCAGCTACTAGGCTATAGCATGTGAGGATGCTGCAGGTGGCAGATCGTTAGCCTTTTCTCACAGCAGCTAGAATAATTAAATGTCAAAAAATCATTTTGATGGCGGATTGTAATCCAGAAAGGATTATATGAAACACATGTGAATGAAATTAAATTATATTCCAGTTTTAAATGTGCTTCTGATTACAGATAGCCTGGGATTACACAAGATTTGTATTTTAAAGAAAACCAGTTCGAAGGGAGCATAGTTTGCTTTTTGGGTTAAAAGAATTTCTTTGTATGAAATTCGAATGGTATGACAATTAGAGATTAGACTATACAGAAATTGAAATCTACACACACACACTATACTCATAGTCACGCAATGCTGATGTTGTTAACATTAATAATCTGAGAATAAAGTATAACAATAATAATAATTTGCACGGTTTGATGTGATATGAGCTAATCGATCGTTATATTAAATCACCATTTGTAGCACGATTTATTGTAATGCTTTTTTCCTCAGTTGGTCAGAACAAACGTGGCAGACTTGATACTTACTTGTTCAGATGACAATATCCGGTGAAAATTCTTATTTGGGTCATATATTCCAAGACGTAGGCTAGAATCTGTGATTACTAAATATAGGATTCACACCGGGAATATATAGGAGTCGTGCCAGAGTACAACACACGCAAGGAAGATAATTCCGCAAGTAACTGCAATTCCAGGTTTTCAAACAGAGAGGGCGACAAAGAGGTAAAACTTATGGACTGCAGCTTTAACAAGGACAATACACTTGACCTATTAGGCAGACAAAATTCTTGTGTTTGCATAATAACCTCTAGTTTTTTTCTATTAATTCAATTTATTTGTGTTTTGATCTTAAACTGATACAAGTACTGTACAAATACTGAACAATTACTGTAAGTAATGTATAAGAGTGTATGTTTTTAGTACATTTTGTCAAACTGCTGCAAACCTGTGCAGGAAAATAAGAAGATAAGAACTGAGGAACAAAATAGCGTTCTAATGTTGTTTAAGATTATTATTATTATTTTTTAAATTTTTCACATTACCGTCAACTAAATATGTGACCCTGGACCACAAAACCAGTCTTAAGTAGCACAGGTATATTTGTAGCAATAGCGAAAAATACATTGTATGGGTAAAAATTATCGACAAATATTGCCCTATCCTAACAAACCATACATCAATGGAAAGCATATTTATTCAGATGATTTATAAATCTCAATTTTAAAAAATGTAACCTTATGACTGGTTTTGTGGTCCAGGGTCACATATTAGTTTTGTTGATAAATAATATTTGATCACATATTTTATTTTATTTTATTTCTCATCATTTGTCATTTTAGTCAAAGAACTAAAATTAATGACATGACAAAATACTGTCTACATTTACAGGATATTTTCATCAAAATAAAAAAAATATAAACAAAAACTCTATAAAAACAGCACTAAACTAGACGAGTTTCCAATAATGTGTAATATTTCGTGGATCAGGTTCATGTCATTGCTTATCAATTTAAAAGTTCATAAATACAGACAGATGCAGGTCAAAAAAGCAGCATTTTCCTGAATGTTAAAGACTATTGAGGGAAGGACACCAGGGTGATTTGGATGCTGTATAGGACAACTACATCTCTTTCATCCTGAGCGAGTCCTCTGGGACAGAACAGAGATTAGATTTCAAGTACACCTCTGTGGTAATTGTTCCAAGAGGAGCAGGTCCATTATCTGGGCTCAGGTACACATTGTGATGCTGACTGCAGGTGACTTCTGTTCAGTTGGGAGTAAACTCTATCGACAGTGAATGTGAAACAAACACATGTAGCTAACACAGATGTCTCGAATTCCCTCTTGGAGAGCCCAGCATTGTTGTTGCCCAGAGCAACAAACATCTAAACAGAAACCCCCATTGTGAAATAAGTTGGTTTCAGAGCACAAGGTCTCACTGTGGCACTCATACCACAGAAGTCACACGGTGGATAACAAGCCTAATCCGGCCAGACAAGAGAAGAAGCCCTAAGCTATCAGGTTTCAAAACATCTTCTACTGGGAACATGTCTCTTGAGCTGACGTTCAACCCTGATATACAGCTGACGGAGATGATGCGTCTGCGAGTACAGTCTCTGCAGCAGCGAGGCCAGAAACGCCAAGATGGAGAGCATCTACTGAAGTCCAATGAGCACGTCTACCGTCTGGACTTCTCTGAACAGGCCCTGCATTTCACCCGCTGGAACATCCGCATGTCCGCACCCGGCCGCCTCAACATCATCGCCACCTCCCAGCTCTGGACGCCCGACCTGACCCACCTCATGACCCGCCAGCTCCTCGAACCGACCGGCCTCTTCTGGAAAACCGCAGACGACGATCTCATCCAATGCTACGAGGCTGACGCTCAGGAGTTCGGCGAGAGGATAGCCGAGCTGGCCAAGGTTCGCAAAGTGATGTATTTTCTGTTCTCCTTTGAAGACGGCTTGAGTCCGGAGAACATCGAGTGCTCCATTGAGTTCCAGAAGTGAGAGAACTTTAAGGGTACGGCGGCTTTCTGTTGAGTCTATTTAACCTAGACCAAGTAGTTTAAAATTATGTTCCTAAAGACCAATAAAATTAGATTTTATGACTAGATCTTGAGCTTTATCGGTCTGATTGTTCATGTTTAGCTGTTTTTGTGAGTGTGATGAGACTTTAACCCAAGATAAATCACACTAATAATTCAAGAAGATCAAAATTATTCATGAATAAAGCAAAACTTATGCTTTTAGTGGTCGTAGTTCTTTAAATAATGAATGTACTGGGGTGTAATGGGAGTGCCCTTGAGCAGTGGTTCTCAATCTTTTAGACTTCAAGGCTCCTTAATGTCCACGGTAATATTCGAAGCCCATGACTATTCCATTTTTTTCTGGATTAAAAATAGGAATTTTACTCACAATTTCTACCTGATAAAATATTTTTGGGCTTGGTATAATTTATAATATTAATAAAATATATACAAATGTCCATGGAGTAATAACATTTTATACATTTTCATGACTTTCCAGGTCTGGAAATCACATTTTTGAAATCAGACTACCTCACATATCCAGGTTTTTCTAAACTTCTTCAAAGGGTTATATGAATGCTTGTTTTGTCTTATTTTAAGTCATCTTGAGATAACCACTGCCCTTGAGTATGTATCCATGCTGGGTGCATGTGATTGGGTGTGATAAAAGGTTGCTGCAAAGACACAGGGCAAGGATAGCAGCACACACACCTTCATTTATCAATGCCCGACCCTGTCAGGAAAACAAATGACAGGATGGGGAGAGGAGTCACATGGGAAAGCCCTATAAGTCAACCCCTTCATGATGATGTGTGTTTCTAGGGGAGAGGAAATGTTTCCCTAGGCAGGGGACAACACTTCACGCCCGGGGGAGGATGCGGGGGGACCGAAGCTTAACATTTAAGCTAAATAACAGCTCAGAAACCATTAACCATTAACACCCTTTACCTGTCTACCTCCAACAAAGCTACAAACAGAAACCGAAATACCGTTTACACCAGCTGGAACTACAGGGTGTGTGTGTGTGCATTCATGAAGCCACAGGTGAGTGGATCTCTCCCCTGTTTAACCATCATCAGGTAATGGTTCCTAATAGAGCACACAGATCCTATGGCAGGCTGCCACTTACAGCTGCGAATAGAGCTCAGAGAGACTGTTTTGCTCCTCCTCTCTGCTTAACACACTCTTTATATAAGGTAAATAAAATATATGTAAATATAAGCTTGTAAATATAAGGAAAATATAAAATATGCAAGAATATGTACGTTTAAATCCCACAGCGCAGGTCTTATGGGAAACCTCTGCAACCTCTGCAAGTATCAAGGGAAAAGTGATACATGTAGGCAAAACTTAACTATTTTTTGTGCTTGCTGAGCAAAACCTATTTCTATTGGGCAAACCATTCAGCCATAAAGTGATTATTTAATGAGTTCTATAATTCTATACATTATTCTATAATTGTATATACTAGAATTATGGTGACACTTTATTTTAAGGTCCAATTCTCACTATTAACAAACCATTAACTATGACTTTTGCCTCACTAAATTCCTAATTTGCTGCTTATTAATATTTAGTAAGGTAGTTGTTAAGGATTAGGGATGTAGAATATGGTCATGCAGAATGTGCTTTGTAAGTACTAATAAACAGCCAATATGTTAATAATAAGCTAATAAGCAACTAGTTAATAGTGAGAATTGGTCCCTATACTAAAGTGTTACCAGAATTATGTAGTATATTTTTATGAATTTTGAACCAACAATAAAAAAATAAAAGTAACACTGAACAATATGTAAAAAATGTACATACATTTATATTTTATAAAATACATTAATAAAGAAATAAATAAATATATGATAAAATATTATTAATAATATCAAGGCAAAAGTCATTTTAAACCAAATCTAAATATTAAAAGTAAAGTAAAATTGCACTTAAAGTAAATTTGTATAAGTAATTTATTTTATTATTAGTTTGATATAATATGAATTATGTCACATACAGTCGTGGTCAGAATTATTGGCACCCTTGGTAAATATGATCAAAGCTGCAATGGTTAATTATTTTTATCTTTTATTAAAAAAATTCACATAAATCTAACCTTTCATTGGAGAAAAAGAATTTAAAATGGGGGGAAATATCATTATGACATAAATGTTTTTCTCTAATACACATTGGACACAATTAACGGCACCCTTTTATTCAATGCTTTTTGAAACCTCCATTTGGCATAATAACAGCTCTGAGTTTTCTCCTATAATGCCTGATGAGGTTAGAGAACACCTGACAAGAGATCAGAGACAATTCCTTCATCTAGAATCTCTCCAGACCCTTCAGATCCAGCTCCATGATGGTGCTTCTCCTCTTCAGTTCACCACACTCATTTTCTATAGGGTTCAGGTCAGGGAACTGGCATGGCCATAGCAGAAGCTTGGTTTTGTGCTCAGTGACACATTTTTGTGTTGTTTTTAAGGTTTGTTTTTGGATTATTGTCCGGTTGGAAGATCCAAACATGGCCCATTATAAGATTTCTAACAGAGTCAGTCACTTTTTGATTTTTTATCTGTTGGTATTTGATAGAATCAAAGATGCCATGTATCTAAACAAGATGTCCAGGACCTCCAGCAGAAATATAGGCCCACAACATTAAAAATACAGCAG